AAAGAGAGTGAAACGTCGCCTTAAATGGCAGTATAATGTAACCTATGCTTTGCATTCTAGTTTCTGATACGGCAAAGATTGGAAAAAAGAAAACTAGCAAGACAGCAATATCAACCAACGATAATGAAAATGAAACAAATACAGTTATGGATGAACAAATAACTCCTTCATCAATATCGACAAGTTTATATACTAAGTTGGCGTATACTGTTTACCTAATATTTTTTTGTTCAGTCAAAATTCTTGAACTCAAACCTGTTCAGAGTAGGTGCAAAATTTTCCCCTGCTCTCAAAAATATGTATCGAAACTAAGGGTGTTAATTTAGTGTAATTTTAGAAAATAAATATAAATAGGTGAAAAAAATTTATCTTTATTTTTACAAAGATCATTTACTTTTATAAAATAAAGAGAAATTTTTTTCTCATGTATTTATATTTACTTTTTTAAATATAAATGATGAATTTATATTTATCCATTATTATAAATGAACAATAAAACTAAAGTAACATCTCTAATCGAAATCACTCACCTTCGATTCCTTCGAACAACAGTATATTAGGTGATCTGGCCAGTATTGCGCTGAACTTTCTCTTTTGTTGACAGCCCATTCTTTCTGTCTTGCTAATTTAGTTCAAGAAAACAACGATGAATTAGCTGAAACGCAAACATCATTTCGGATCAATGACCTTGCAACGACTAAGCTTGTTGGTGTTGTTACACCAGTTACAACTACAGGCATGGTTCAGGATTCCACTAATACAAAATTTATATGTATATAATTTCCGTTTAGACGAACAAATTATCACTCCACCGTTATCATTTCCTCTTCTTAATCTATCATCCTCTAGTATTACAATTACTTCATCACCAGTAGTATCATTCTATGAAAAAGATAGTAAGTGCCTAAAATTTAAAGCCACTATCATGTGCTACTTACTGGTCATGCACTGTTTCTTGGGTATTAGCTAATAATCATATTCTGAAAGAAATTCGACAAAATAAAAAAAACCAAACAATTAATTAATCATGCTAAAGGTAAACTTATCATTTTTTACTGTAAGCAGCCATCGGCAAAAGTCCTCATTACAGGAAAACACAATGTAAATAGCAGTATTATGCCAAGTAATATGCAACCATTGATCAAAGTTGATCCACGAACAAACATTAATGCATTAAATAACTCTTCACAAGGTACACCACAATCAGTTTCCCGAATAGTTTATCGCAACCAACATATCGTACAGTTACATTTTCACAATCGAGCGCCGCTACAAGACCAATTCAAACAAAATCAGTAGCTAGATATGATCAACGTGAACAATCTCGTATGTGACTGCACAGTTACAGAAATAATTTCAGCATAATTGCTAGAGTGCTCATTGCGGCACTGTTTGAAGATATGTGCTATTTCTTTTAATTTATTATTTTTTTCATAGAAAAATCGATTCTTTTGAATGTTAAATGTTAAAAACTGATTTATTATTATTTTTACTCCAAAAATTAATTTAGATCGATTTTTTCCTTTGAAAAAAACCTATTTAAATTAATCTTTTTAGAATTCTTTTAGAAAAATCCGTTTAAATTAATTTTTAAAAACTTTCATTTAAATTCACTCTACGTAACTCTCACTTTAACAAACTCTACGTAACGTTTCGTGCGAAAAATCTATATAAATTCATTTCTTTTTCAATAAATCTGACTTTGGTTCTTGTAAAAGGTTAATTTGAATTTGTTTTTTCTCCAAATCAAAGATAAAACGCACTTAAATAGATTTTCTCAAAACTAAAACCAGATTTATTGAGATAGAAATAAATTTAAATAGATTTTTCATACAAAAAGTTACGCAGAGTGAATTTAAATGAATCTTTTTAAAAATTAATTTAAACAGATTTTTAAAAAAGTAAATTTAAATAGGTTTTTTTCAAAAAAAATCGATTTAAATTGATTTTTCCATGAAAAAAAAAATAAATCGAAAAAAACATTTCTTCAAAAAGTGCCGCAATGGGTGGTGTTTCGTGCTTAGGAAAATCGTCATCGAACAGAATAACGACAGTTGATATTGATTCAAAAGAAACCGAAAGAATATTTATCAATGGCAAGTATTAATCGAGTTTTCTAGGCAATGAAGGTTTCTAATCATTCCTAATGCTGTTATACTTCTTTTTAGCATTGAATGACGCTTTACGTCCAATTAAAGAAGAAATTCGCCAAGTAGCGACTGTTGTTAGTGATATTGATGTACGTTTACGCGAAATGCAAACATTAAAAGTAAATGAAGTTAATCAAATACCAAAAAAACTTGATAATTTAGCCAAAGTAGCACAAAATATAGCAGAAGTAAGTCTTATATTTATATTTCTTATAGAAAAATCATCATGTCCTCCTGTTTTTCTGTAGAAAGCTGATCCGACCATCTCTAATCCTAACTCATTAACAAAACAATCAAACAATAATAAACAAATGGTATGGTCATTTCACGTAGCAAAAATCTGTCACTAGCTCATTCAATGAGCTAGTGACATGTTTTTGATCCTCATTGTGCGATGGATAATCCGTTATTTACTCGGTTTACATATTTTTCGTCTCTTCACATGATCGCAGATGAAAAAGTGCTTCTTCCATGTGCTTTTTTCGGTTGTTAAGCTCATCAATTTATTGGAGGGAAACAAAGAACTAATAGAAATTCATCCCTTGTTTTCCTCCGCTTTTAGAAAATATATCTAAATCACTATTCCGCTCCATTACGTTTGTAAAGTTAAATCATTATACTGTTGATTTAGATTGTAAATGGAATTGATATGTTGAAACTGATTAAAAAAGGCACAAAGGCAACTGCATTTGCTTGTGTTGTTGCTCGACATTTATTTTCAAAAGAAATATTGTCAGGAGCAATTTATGAAGATAAAAATATAGAACGTTATTCATTTATAATGAGTGAGTTTCACCTCGAAAACACAAACAATATAGTGAACACGTTTACATACTTTTTTCCTTAGAGTGTGTTAAAATTGGATATGGGTATACCGAAAATCAATTAACTGTATGACTTAAGAAAATCAGAAATGCTCTAAAACAAATGGCTCGCAACATGAAAAATAAAAAATGCAATGCACCGGCTGTTGTGCTGAATAATGATGGTGCGCATAATATTCTAGTTAAAAAACTTGAATTGTTACCAGATCTTTTTGGTTTAGATGGTAAGGCTGATGATAATGAAGATCCAGAAGATGAACAAGATAACGAAGAAGTTGAACAAAATGAAGAAGAACGAGAAGTTGAACAAGATGAAGAGAAGATGAACAAGAGGATGATAGTGGTAGTGAAGTTACTGGTTAAAGAAGAATATTGTTTGTGTAGAAGCTGGTTTTTGCTTGTTACATGTTGTGTTCTCCTTTTGTGTTTACATATCTTATATTGTTCATCAAAGATAGTTTTTTCTGTGTTTTTGTCTTCGATCTATGACTATGTAGGTTCACACAAAATAAACATGCATGATAAACTGAAAGATTATATGTTTGAAAGGAATCAGAAACAACACTTTGAATGGTAGCTGGAAAATATGTCATGATGTCATACAGTTTATAACAGAAAATATCAGTTAGAAAAGCAAGTCACATGGCATGGCGAGCGCGCAAGAATTTTTGCAAGCCACGTGACGTGGCTTTGCCACACGCGTGGCCGCACCCATGATCACGTAACGTGTCCTGCCCGTGGAAAATCTAACGTGGCCATGGCAAGTTTAGAGCGTGTAAGTTCACCTGGGTAGTCTTCTTTTGTTACCATTTTGTTCTCTTTCCAAAACTGTCGACGATACCGTCCACTAACGCTATCTATTTTCATCTAGACGAGAGTTAGCTCATTATTGTCTCTAAAAGTTGCTTATCCTTTTCTCCGCCTCCTTGAATATTATTTCTAACGTACTGTAACACTTGGTATAGTTTGACAAAACGACCCATAAAATACTCATGGCCATTTTTTCCATTGATTTCGGAGAATCACATACAGACACACACACCTCGTCTGGGTGGTTCTAATACAGTGAAGGCGATGCAATAAGGTGCACGACATATGCTTACAACGTGCCCTTTTTCGTTTTCAAAAAACGCAAAGTTATTGCATCTCTGCATTCATTCGTTTCGAAAATGTTTTCAAGGATATTCTCTGTTTTTTCGCACAAATGCAGTGCAAAGACAGGGGAATAGGGACTAAAGTTAGAGTTAGATGCTTACCAAGAAAAAAATTGTTTATTGGATACAAAAAATATGTATAGATAGCAGAGTTTTCACAATAAATGCTACGGGTTTCAAGTCCTGAGTTACTTCCATAAAGGGTTTGTAAGAGACAAAAGCTTATTTTAAATATTTGAGAGTACTCTTTTTGTCGCCGTATGTAGTTATTATGATTATAGTTTTGAAATTATCACTCAATACTTGGGAATAAAGCGTTATTTTATTGGACCAACCAGTTGACCAGTGGCACAAATTAGTCATACGTTCATGCTTTTTCTTTATCTGCACTTCTCCTCCAGAATTCTTCCATCGCTTAAGATATCTTTGATAAAATTTTAGAGCCGTATCAAATAAGGAATATCTCTATCTTTTCACATCTTGGCAAATGTTACCAAATGTCTATATGTTAGGAAATGTCTACATACACATGTACTAACATTTGCCAAGATGTGAAAAGATAGAGATATTCCTTATTTGATACGGCTCTTTTGATTTGTGTTCTCTATGCTAATTTAAATTGATTAATAAGTTAGGTTAGGTTGAGGTTTGGTTATAAAAGTTTTTATAGGTTAGGTTACAGGTTGCTAAAAAGCTTGCAGTGCTCTACACTAGATTGGATAACCATTAGGTTCTTAAACTTGTCTTTTGTATACTGCAATAGCGTCTACTCATTCTCGATGGATTTCTTGAATCATACAAAAGTTAGCCTTTGAACTTGGGTGAGTAATCGACAGATATCACAGAGTATTTGGTGAAAGATAGTCAAAATAATGCTTTTGAGCCGCGTATATGTTATTTCGAGTTTTTTTAGAATAATTGACCATTGTAAAATAATTGTCTTCTAGTAACGATTATAATCCAAGACGTTAAGGTTAGATGATAATAGAAGAGAATTACTTATTTTGGTAGAAAATAAAGTATACGTCTCACTTGAATCTGAAGGTATTAGCATTTTATTGGAAGAAAAACGAATACCTTACGAACCAATTACTGTGGCTAACATTTATATTAAAACTCTCTCATTACAACTACCGGCGGTTGATGAATCACAATGTAAAATAAAATCACAGCGAGAAAGAACATATGTAGACGAAAAATAGACGCATGCAATAAAATAAAATGATTATTTCATAGAAAGTCAAAATGTATGAAAATAATGAAATGTCATAAACAATAGTGCATACTTTAATTGTTTCAAGTTCAAATTAAACAATTAAAAAACATCTCGTTTTCTTAAGAAAAAAATGGTTCGCACCTTTGTTAAGTGCCCACTTTTGTGCGGTCCGAAAGGTAACCACTTAAGAGAAGCTTTACAATAGTTATAACTATAATCACATAAAATTTGAATTGTTCTCGAGTTTCGGAGATGAGGATAATTGTATGATATACTGTATGGCCTTCTTTCTGTTCTTCATTCGGACATGAGCAATTGTTATTCTTTGTGTTTTAGATATCGAGAATGCATTGGATATCTCATATACAAGGCTGTCCTCGTCGTGTTAATCATGCAGCTGTTGCCTACTCAGATTTTATTTATTCATTTGGCGGCTATTCAAATCAAGAGGATTTTACTAATCCAGTACCAATTGATATTAATGTTTTGCAGATTCGTAAGTTTCTTGACACACAATAATATATTCATATACTCTCATTTCCTATTCAGCTAAATATATTATTTCACACTTCACACAGCTTCTTTTATAAATTGGTTTTCAGTCGTATTTTAGTAAGAGATAGGAAGCACTAATTGTATATTGCATGTGAGGAAAAAGTTGCTGTCTGTCTGAAGTCTTTTTTTCAAAAGCATTCTAGCTTTTCAGAATGATTTATTAAAAGAAAGTTGAGCTATATAAGATTAAGGTCACGTCACACGACGTTTGCAATCACCATTAAATGTAGTGTTACCGATCTAATCATGATATTCTGCCATATCAATATCGGCTGTTATCAGCAAATACTTAATCATAGTTTTGTCTTTTACTGTGTTTCGATGTTTGATTTCTGTATAGGAGCCAAGTACACTTCACTTAGCAGCATTCTTGGCCTGGCCAGCTAACTCTGCTACCGTAACGAATTTTCATCATTTTGTTTTGCCCACAATTCTTAAACTGACTACTGTAGAGTGTCGCGGGACATCTAAATTGAAGAGAACAGTCTGGCTAACATTTTAAGACGTTTTTCAGCCTTATAACATGTATAATTAAGGAGCTATAATCTAAACACTGGACACTAGTTTTGCAAAAATTAAATTCGAAGAAATAAAACACTAGTGTCCAATGTTTAGGTTACAGCTTCTTAATTATACATGTTATAAGGCTGAAAAACGTCTTAAAATGTTAGTCAGACTTTTCTCTTCAGTTTAAGATGTTCCGCAACACTCAACAGTAGTCAGTTTAGAAATTGTAGGCAAAACAAAATGACGAAAAGCTGTTACGGTAGCAGAATTAGCTGGCCACGCCGTTCTTTTCTTTTTTTTATTTCTATATAAGTTTTGCCTTATCTAGTATGTATTAGAAATAGTATACAGTAGCAACATGGTTTTTATAACCGGTTGCTGGAACACTACAACATCAAGACCGTCCCAAGCTTCGATGTCCCGAAACGATCATTACAGCACTTGACTGATGCTAAGTAACATCTTAGTTTAGCGTTAAGTGCATGCAAGTGATTAATCAGTTTTTTAGTCGAATACTTGCTTGTTCACACGAAAAGTTTGCTTCAAATTACTAATGTGAAATATATGAACATAGATTTCCAGAAAATTCTTTACTTCTCTGATGTTACTCAACAGCTCTTTCGACTTTTGTCAAACAATTCAGTCACACTAAAAGTCACTATAAAAATTGTTAATCATTATTATCTTTGCTTATGATTAATTTCACAATTAAGAACGTTATATATGTGTGGTAACGGCGTCTCATAAAATTGAAAGTTATGTTTTACTTTCCAAACGAAATTTTACGTATTTTAGATACGTTACGATGGTACACATTACCAATACCATCCAAAGAAGATGAACAATATAAACTCACACCGTATAGAAGGTAAATATTCTAGAAAGTAGATTATTATTATCACAATTTGTTTTGTTATGATTAGAAAACGACAACTTTTAGGATTTATTTTTTGATAATAAAAAAAGTTTGACAGAAATTTTTCTACTCTGAAAAGATTTCAAAAACTTTTTCTCTATTCAAGTACCAAAGATTTTCGTATTTATTCTAGATATGGTCATACATGTGTCTTATATAATCATAAAATTTATTTGTGGGGTGGTCGAAATGATGGACCAGGTGCTTGTAATAAGTTGTATTGTTTTGATCCATATCGTCGTCAATGGTCAATTGTACGAATTAATGGATTTGTTCCGGAAGCTCGGGATGGACATTCAGCATGTGTTATCAAAGACCGAATGTACATATTTGCCGGATTTGAAGAACCCGTACGTTATACCTATTCTTTCTTGGAGTACTTTTGTTGTTAGTCTCTTATCTTTATTATAGGGAAATCATTTTTCAAATGATTTATTCTATTTTGATTTTATATCATTAATATGGCACAAAGTTCTGACACCAGTATGTCTTTCACTGTTATGATAAGACAAAACTTATAGAAATTTTTCATAGTGTCGTTAAATTCGAATGTGTAATTTTTATTATTACTCTTGTTTATTTCATTTTAGAAATCTCCTTCCACTCCTAAATGGCGTGATTTTCATACATCAACATCTATCGGTGATTTAATGTACGTATTTGGCGGAAGATTTGACATTGCTGGTCATCAACATTCTGGTCAAAATTACTACGAAAATAAACTGCATGTATACGATTCTGTAAAAAATACGTGGACAGAAATATTTACAAATGGTCAGATACCCGGTGGAAGAAGATCACATTCGGCATGTAAGATATAATTTATTAGTATTTTTTTAAATCATACAATATAACAACAACAACAACTATCTTAGTAGGATAAAATTTTAATTGTATTTTTGCGTGAAAAAGAACCTCAATATTTGCACAAAAAGAATTCAAAACAACTAGTACACATCAGCTATAAATATACTGTGGATAATCCTGATAGGCTGAAATTATTTACTGTACAGTATACATTAGGCTAGTAAATGTTGAATGTGTGCAAAATAATACATAATAGCCAAAAGCTACTTAAATGAGCTCTTTTAACAGACGAAGTTTGATAAATCATTTTCCAGTTTTTAAGCATTAGCTTTAATTGATCTATAACACTGATGATAGTTAAAATCAACAGTATTATAAATCAATCAAAACTACTGAGAGCTGTTATGATGTGCAGCGTGTTCGATTGTTTTTTGGCCAGAGGAGCTATAATTGTGACGGAAAGCTTATAAAAATATCTTGCGGAGCCGTTCTATACACGGCAGTCTTATTTGGTAACGGTTGCATAAATGGATCAAACTTTTGTAATTTTTAACTCTCATTTTCATTCTATTTTTAATTGCAGTCGTAACATTTTAAATGAATTAAGGGATTACAGCCGCTCAAGTCTTAAAATTTAAACTCTTATTTCTGCTCCTCAACTCGAGACAATAAAATAAACCAGTCAGACGTGAAATACTTAGGGAAGAAGAATAGACTTGCAAATAATATAAAAGAGACCGTACCCGTATTTGCACGCCTATGCGGAAGATTAATACAGAAAATAGTATTTTATACCATTGCTACATTTTCCGCGGTAGAAAGTAAGAATCATATCTAAAAACTCAAAAATGTTTTGTTTTCCAACGACTGAGTTGAAGCGTAAAATTATTTTTTAATTAAAAATCTGAAAAAAGTTTTTCGTGTCTTGTTGTAGCTTTCATTCATGAAATTATTCTGTAGTGTAAAAGACAAAAATTATTTTAAAGGTATTGATAAGACTGATAATAACACATTGTTGTTGCAGTGTGGTCAGTTTTAGTTTAGTTAAGTATATATTATTCTATCAAACTTGTTACGTTTGTATCGAAACATCCCTTTAATATCTTTGACATTTTTTTGTGTTATGTATTTTCCAGTAGATTTGAAATAAGTTGCCCATGACAAAAGGAGGCCTTGACTAGTATCATGTTGATATCCTTGTAAAAAAAAATGATACTGGTTTAGTTACATAGGGTACTTCACAAGAAGTTCCACCCTGGTTTTTCCCTGGTATCTTCCTTTTCCTTTTATTTATCCTACCGTTCATTTTGAGATTAAAAATAAAAGCATGATTTAATTTATAACAGTCTGATCATCTAGATTTTTGTGTATTCGTCCAAGACGACATTACTTGTGCAGTTTATAAATATATTGTGAATAAATTTTTCAGAATATTTTCTATTTTGTCTTAGTCTCCTACAAAGATAAACTATATATATGGGGTGGTTACAATAGTATAGAAGGTAATCATTACAATGACTTCTATGAATATTCACCCGAAACACAAACATGGGCACAATTAAAACCAAATGGCATGCAACCCAAAGTTCGCAGACGTCAATGCTGCGTTGTTATTGGATCAAAAATGTATCTATTTGGTGGAACAAGTCCCATCTCGGCAACAATCCAAGCAACATTGAATGCAATTGATATTGATCAGTATGGAACAACTCTAGTGGATCAGAATGATTTATTTGTTCTCGATTTTAGTAAGTATACACAAACTCTGAGAAAAAGAATACTGGCCTTCTTCTTAATAGATCTTCTACTGTTAGAATTCAGTATTAGCTAACGAAGGAACCTCTCACCAATTGTTCAACGCTGTTTTGGCTGATATTTTGTTGATGAATACGACTCATGATTCTATGAAAAAGCTCAACGTGCTTTTTTTCTATGTGACTTGTTTGCAAAGAAAATGAAGTTTTCAGAGTACATTACAGTATAGAATGTTATTTTTCTTATAATTCAAGAACGAAAAGGACTTGAGAGCTACAAATGTTTTTTCACAGTATATCTATTTATTGTTTGACTATTTTGAAAGTTTCAACTATATCTGTCACTGCAATAGAAGTTATAAGATTTATGGTTTCGGAATTCCTTTGGGAATGTATTTCTCATATAATCACTATGTCATGACTGTTTTCTGTTACATCATTATTTATATTACATCATGTTATGTTATCTTTCTTATTCTAAAAATTTATAAATGACGCATAAACAAAGGCTGTTTCTATTGTAAAGCTACAACAGGAAAAACGAACACACTCATAAACCTTATAACTTCTATTGCAGTGACAGATATAGTTGAAACTTTCAAAATAGTCAAAACATTAAATAGATATACTGTGAAAAAACATTTGTAGCTCTCAAGTCCTTTTCGTTCTTGAATTATAAGAAAAATAACATCCTATACTGTAATGTACTCTGAAAACTTTATTTTCTTCGCAAACAAGTCGCATAGAAAAAAAGCACGTTGAGCTTTTTCATAGAATCATGAGTCGTATTCATCAACAAAATACCAGTCAAAACAGCGTTGAACAGTTAGCGAGAGGTTTCTTGACAAGTTTGAGAAAAATATAGTTTTATCAAAAATGGTCGATTTTTGCCTGGACACAATTATAGGAACAATATCGAATTTTATTTATTTTTGTACCAGAATGATTTTAGTTTTGCTCAAAACTTACATAGACACATAGAATAGGTGATTCTGGACGTTTCGGTTAAAAAAAGGCTTGAAAAATGATGCAGATTTGAATTTAGACTTAAATTTTATTGATCAAGCCATTTTGGCTTAATCAATAAAATAACAAGTTCAGCTTTTAACCTGCAAAATCAGAAACACGGATGAGGACGATTTTTTGACAACGGATTCGAATAGAAGAGACTTTTTCCTTCAAATAAAACGTTTCT